CAGCCAGCAGCTCCAGAGGAGACAGCAGCACCCAGCCCTGCCGAGTCTTCACCATCCCCCCAGACCTACCCCTTACTGAGGACGAACGGTCAGTCCTCAGTAAAGGGCTCACCTTTGTCCCCCTCCACCCACAGATCAATGAATACCGCTCACGCTTGGACATAGAGCAGTTTTTCCGCCGCCTCCGCCTCCACGCTTCTTTAACCGTGAACCTAACCCTCCCTCTACTGACCCCTTCTCCCGCTTCCAACACACCCCCTCCTCCTGGACACCACCACCCCAAGGCCTCCTACCCTCCCTCGACCTCTTCATCTCCAACTGCCGTCGAGACATCAATCGCCTCAACCTCTCCACCCCTCTCACCCACTCCAACCTCTCCCCTGCAGAACGTGCAGCCCTCCGCTCCCTCCGCTCCAATCCCAACTTCACCATAAAACCCGCGGACAAGGGAGGCGCAGTTGTAGTATGGCGCACTGACCTCTACATCGCCGAGGCCGGACGCCAACTCTCCAACACCTCCTCCTACCGCCCCCTTGATCATGACCCCACCCCTGAGCACCAAACCATCATCTCGCAAACCATCCACAACCTCATCACCTCAGGTGACCTCCCACCCACGGCCTCCAACCTCATCGTTCCCCAACCTCACACTGCCCGCTTCTATCTCCTTCCCAAAATCCACAAACCTGAATGCCCTGGTCGACCCGTTGTCTCCACCTGCTCCTGCCCCACCGAACTGATCTCCAACTATCTAGACTCCATTTTCTCCCCCTTGGTCCAGGAACTCCCTACCTATGTCCGTGACACCACCCACGCCCTCCACCTCCTCCAGAACTTCCAATTCCCCGGTCCCCAACACCTCATCTTTACCATGGACGTCCAGTCCCTCTACACCTGCATTCCCCATGCAGATGGCCTTAAGGCCCTCCGCTTCTTCCTGTCCCGCAGGCCCGACCAGTCCCCCTCCACTGACACCCTCATCCGCTTAGCCGAACTCGTCCTCACACTCAACAACTTCTCTTTCAATTCCTCCCACTTCCTACAGACAAAGGGGGTAGCCATGGGTACCCGCATGGGCCCAAGCTACGCCTGCCTCTTTGTAGGTTACGTGGAACAATCCCTCTTCCATACCTACACCGGCCCTAAACCCCACCTCTTCCTCCGTTACATTGATGACTATATCGACGCCGCCTCATGCTCCCACGAGGAGCTCGAAAAGTTCATACACTTCACTAACACCTTCCACCCCAATCTTAAGTTTGCCTGGACCATCTCTAACACCTCTCTCCCCTTCCTGGACCTCTCTGTCTCCATATCGGGCAACCACCTAGAAACCGATATTCATTTCAAGCCCACCGACTCCCACAGCTACCTAGAATACTCCTCCTCCCACCCACCTTCCTGCAAAAATGCTATCCCCTATTCCCAATTCCTTCGCCTCCGCCGCATCTGCTCCCAGGATGAGGCATTCCACTCCCGTACATCTCAGTTGTCCTCGTTTTTCAAGGACCGTAACTTCCCCTCCTCGGTGGTCGAGAACGCCCTCAACCGTGTCTCCCACATCTCCTGCACCTCATCCCTCACACCCCGTCCACACAATAAGAACCAAAAAAGAATCCCCCTCGTCCTCACGTACCACCCCACCAACCTCCGGATCCAACGCATCATCCTCCGACACTTCCGCCATCTGCAATCCGACCCCACCACCAAAGACATCTTTCCCTCCCCACCCTTATCTGCTTTCCGGAGGGACAACTCTCTCCGTGACTCCCTTGTCCGCTCCACACTCCCCTCCAGCTCCACCACACCCGGCACTTTTCCCTGCAACCGCAGGAAGTGCTACACCTGCCCCCATGCCTCCTCCCTCACCCCCATCCCAGGCCCCAAGAAGACTTTCCACATCAAGCAGATGTTCACCTGCACATCTGCCAATGTGGTATACTGCATCCGCTGTACCCGGTGTGGCTTCCTCTACATCGGGGAAACCAAGCGGAGACTCGGGGACCGCTTTGCAGAACACCTACGCTCGGTTCGCAATAAACAACTGCACCTCCCAGTCGCGAACCATTTCAACTCCCCCTCCCATTCCTCAGACGACATGTCCATCCTGGGCCTCCTGCAGTGCCACAACGATGCCACCCGAAGGTTGCAGGAACAGCACCTCATATTTCGCTTGGGAACCCTGCAGCCCAATGGTATCAATGTGGATTTCACAAGTTTCAAAATCTCCCCTCCCCCTACCGCATCCCAAAACCAGTCCAGCTTGTCCCTGCCTCCCTAACCTGTTCTTCCTCCCACCTATCCCCTCCTCCTACCTCAAGCCGCACCTCCATCTCCTACCGACCAACCTCATCCCGCCCCCTTGACCTGTCCATCCTCCCTGGACTGACCTATCCCCTTCCTAACTCCCTACCTACACTCACCTTTCCTGGCTCCATCCCCGCCTCTTCGACCTGTTTGTTTCCTCTCCACCTATCCTCTCCTCTATCCCTCTTCTATCCGCCTCCCACTGTCTCCCTATTTATTTCAAAACCCCCTTCCCCTCCCCCTTTTCTGATGAAGGGTCTAGGCCCGAAACGTCAGCCTCTCTGCTCCTATGATGCTGCTTGGCCTGCTGTGTTCATCCAGCCCTGCACCTTGTTGTCTCTTGTTTTAGATTATTGTATTCAGTTTTAGTCACCACATTATATGAAGAATGTGGAGGCTTTGGAGAGGGTGAAAAAGAGGTTTACCAGAATGTAACCTGGATTGGAGTATAGTAGCTATAAGGAAAGGTTGGACAAATTTGGATTGTTTTGTGCTGGAGTATCAGTTGTTTAGGGTGATCTGCTAAAATTATATAAAATTGAGAGGCGTGGATAAGGTAGATAGTCAGAGTCTGTTTCCCAGGGTGAAAGTGTTCTAAGGGACATAAATTTAAGGTGAGAGGGGAAAGTTTACAAGAGATGTGAAAGGTAATTTTGTTTTACAGAGTGTGGTAGATTCCTAGAACGTTCTGTCAAGGGAGGTGGTAACAGCTGATATGTTAGCCAAATTTAAGAGGCATTTAGACTCATGACTAGGCATGGACTAGAGGGATACAAACCATGTGCAGGCAGGGCCAAATGACCTGTTCCTATGCTGTACTGTTCTATGTTACAGATTCTGGAAATCAAAATCCAATGGATTGGTTAAATATGATTTCCCTTTTATAAAACAGTATTGACTCTGCCTGATTACCTTAAACTTATCCAAGTACCCTGCTATAACATCTTTAACAACAGCTTCTGACAATTTCCATCAGACCACAAAAGCTAGGAACAGAAGTAACTCAGGCCATTGAAGCTTCACCATTCAATGAGATTTATAATTGATCTGCTAAACCTCAACTCCACTTACCTACCTTTTCCTTAAAACCCTTGATTCCCTGACTGATTAAAAATCTTGTCTGTCACAGCCCTGAATATACTTAATGACTCAGCCTCAAGAATCCTCTGACACAAAAAATTGTCTCAGCCCTAAATGTGCAACCCCTTATTCTGAAATTATGCCATCTTGTCGTAGACTCTCCCACATGGGAAAACAACCGTTCCACATCTACCTTGTCAAATCCCCTATGAATCTTGTATTTATCAATAAGGTTGCCTCTCCTTCTCTATTCCAATGAGTACAGTCCAAATCTACTCAACCTCTCCTCATACGACCATCCTTCTATACTTGATATCAGGCCAGTCGTTCTTCTCTGGAATGCCTGCAATGTCATTATATCTTTCCTTGGATAAGGGGCCCAAACTGTTCACTGTATTCCAGTTGTGGACTGACCAATGCCTTGTAGTGTTTATAGCTCTGCAGTCTTTCTCCATTTTAAATAATATTCAGATACTCTATTCTTCCTGCCAAAGTGCATAACCTCACATTTCCCCACAGGGATTCCATCTGCAAGTTTTTTTGCCCACTTGCTTAATCTCACTTCAGCCTCTGTCTCATTCTCACCAGTTATGTTCCTACCTATTTTTGTTACCTGCAAACTTGGCTATGGTACGCTCGCTTTCTTCACTCAAATCATTAATATATATTAAAAATAATTGTGTCCCCAGAACGGAGCCCTGTGATGCACCACTAGTTACATATGCCATCCTGAAAATGCCACTCCTCTCCCCTCCCCACCCCAATTCTGTCTTCTATCAGTCAGCTAATCCTCTGTACATACCAATATACTACCTTCAACATCATGAGCTATTTACTTAGTAAGATGCCTTATGTTGGGCACTTCATCAAATGCCTTCTGAAAATCCACTTCCCCTTCATTTATCCTGTTTGTTACCATCTCAAAGAATTCTATAAAATTTGTTGGACATGATTTCCCCTTCTGCTTGTTACTTTGCTTGATCATATTCTCTATGACAGATGTGAATCTGGCCTGTAGTTTTTTTTGCTCTGCTCTGCCCCGTTTGAACAAAATAGTTTGTTATTTTGAAATTTAATGGAGTCTTTCTTGAATTTAGGGAGCCAATGCATGAACTACCTGACCAGCCACTACTTTTAAGAATGTAAGATGAAGTGTGTCAGGACCTGGGAACTTCTCAGCGCACAGCTGCAGCAACTTTCTCAGCTACTTGTAATTTTCTTGAGTCCCTCTCTCCTTTCCATTTCCTGATATATATCAAAAATAGCTATATTAGTTCTGGGAAGTTATAAGTAACTTCTACAGTGAAGACCACTGAAAAATACCATTTTGAATAAATAGAGAAATTCATACCTGGGTGGCTTCTGCAGGTTCGTCAAATGTGATTGATGAGATGAATTCAGCAAATAATTTGAACTTTAATGATAAAAGGTGTGTCATTTATATATATTTTAATATCAAGTATTTCTGATTTTTGATTGAACTAATGACACACGAATTTTATGTGGATTAACATAACTTATGAATTCAGTTATTGAGCTCTGATTTAAAACTCCCAAATTTTTATACTGAGAAGGTTTTAAATGCTGTTAATGATTGTCCTTCAATTTTGCAGGTACTTTGGTTGGATGCAGTGATGTAATTTCACAACAACTAATTGAACGACAAGGATGGGCAAATCATGACACAAAAAGGACGCTCAGGATGACCACTGTTGGATTAATTTATGTGGTAACTGCAGATTCTAAAATGAGTGTTATATGGAACAGAACAAATGATGCAAAATGGAAATAAGATTACAGCTCGTGTTTAAAACACAATGTCTCCTGAGCAAATATTTTAACGCCCCTTAACAGTAGAATCGTGCAAAGTATAATACAGATAGTAACTGGGGATGAAGACTGCAAGTAGCTGCATTGGAAATTGGGTAACCAACTTGATTGGAAAGAGATTCTGAAGAGATTTTTCCAGGTGCTATAACAAGTTGAGAGACAAAATAAACTGGAGAGAATCTGGAGAACACAACAATGCAGCTGAAAGCGCTACCATTTGTGCTGGGTGAAAAAATAAGGAAAGAATTCAAGGCCAGGATTGGAGGAGTGGAGCTTTCCAAGTTGCAGAGCTGGAGGACCTTTTAGACATCAGTTGTGGAAAGATTTATAATTAGGGATAAACATCTTATTTAAACTTGCTACCTGTTGATAAAATGAGCAAATGGTCAAAAAGGCAGAGGACGTAATTCAGTGTCAGTAAATATGAGTGAACGGTTACTTTTGACAAATGAAAATTTAATACTTGTACTGTAAATAGAGGTAAACTGAATGATTTAGCGGATGAAGCCTTAGGAAAGCTAATGGAATATGAAATTCTGTGCTAAGATGTAGAGAATATAGAAGCCTAGATGGGATGGTGAATTGGCACAAAAGCATAATAAGAATATTTTGTGTGAAGAATTGTGTATAGATTTTAGCTCCACTTTATAGGAAAGCTGTCAAAACAGTAAAGAGTGTAGGTTCACTGCCCTTTACCACCATCCAATGACCATTAAATGCCCTTAAAGTTGGCGAGTCTACTACTTTTGCAGGCAGGGCATTCCACGCCCTTACTACTCTCTGAGTAAAGAATCTACCTCTGACATCTGTCCTATATCTATCACCTGCTATCTACCTGCTGTTACTCTGTGACATTGCCCTAAAACACAGAGCCAGATTTCAGGTCTAACTTACAATTATCACACTTATTTCAGAACTTCAGGACATTCTAAACCACTTTACAGTTAATTGGGCGCAACAAGAAATAGTGGTAATAACCAGATTATTTATTCGAGTGCTGTTGTTTAAGGGTTAAAGATTGAAGAGAAGTCTCCAGCTCTTATTTGAAAAGTTCCATTGGACCTTTATACATCCATATGTAAGCTCAGCATTACCACAATTGCGTTGAATGGCAGAGCAGACTTAATGGGCTATATTGTCCACTCTTGTTCCTATTTTTTATGTCCTGGCAGGAGTCTCTGTTAAAACTAGTGAACTTTTTAAAAACATTGATAATGATTTACCAAATTTCCATCTGTACTTTCTTTTATAATTCAGGAATGTATGATGTTTAGTGTGAGTTAGGTGCCTCACACATCTTTTATAATCATTTACGCTCATGTAAGTTAGAAACAGGTCATCCCACTGTCGGAGACTTTGTAATGTCTGACTAACAACTCTCCAGGGCAATGTTGGACTCGGATTCTTCACAATGGCAAGCGCTGATTTATTTATTTTGTCATATGTACCGAAATACAGTGAAAAGTTTTTTGTTTATGAGCAGTACAGGCAGATCATAGTAAGCAAAGAATGTGTAGATCAAAAAGACTTAGAGACACACAGGTTACATTGCACAAGGTGTGTGCTAGGCGAGATCAACGTTAGCAAGATCAGCGTTATTTGAGGCTACAGAGTCCATTCATGAGTCTGATAACTGTGAGGAAGAAGCTGTTCCTGAACCTGCTCGTGCTTGTTCAGGCTTCTGTATCTTCTGCCTGACGGAGGAGGTTGTAGAAGGTCATTACCAGGGTGTTATGTGTCTTTGATGATGTTGGCAGCCTTTCCATGGCAGCGAGACGAATTAATAGAGTCTGTGAATGGGAGTTTGGCTTCCATGATAGTCTGGGCTGTGCACACAACTTTATGTAGTTTCTTATGGTCCTGGGCAGAGCAGTTGCCATACCAGGCCATTATGCACCTGGACGGTACACCTTTAATGGTGCATCTGCAAAAGTTGGTGAAGGACTTTATGGACATGCCAAATTTCCTGTGCCAGCTGAGGAAGAAGAGGCATTGTTGTGCCTTCATGACTGTCGCATCTACGTGGGAAGTCCAGGACAGGTTATCATCACTGTGAGGAACTTGATGCTCTTCACCCTCTCAACCTCAGTTCTGTTGATTTAGATGGGGGCATGTTCTCCTTTCTTTCTGAAGTCAATGATCAGTTCTTTAGTTTTGCCAACATTGAGAGATAGATTGTTTTCATTGCACCACATTACACAAGCAAAGGCAGCCTGTGCCGTTTTAAATTCTTTCATGCAGTGTAAACTTCACTGGGGAAGTCAGAATTTGTTGAACATCCCTAATTGCCTTGCAAAAGTGGTGGTGAGCTGCCATCTTAAACCACTGTAGTCCAAGTGGTGTACATACCCCACAGTACTTTTGGAGAGTTCCAGGATATTGTTCCAGCTACAATGAAGGAATGGCAATATAGTTCTAAGTGAAAGGGTGTGTGACTTAGACATGAACTTGCAGGTGGTGGTGTTCAATGTATCTGTTGTCCTTATCTTTTGACAAGGGAGAATTTGCAGGTTTGGCATGTGCTAAGAAGTCTTAGTGAATGGCAGCATTGCATCTTGTAAATAATGCATACAGCAGCTACCGTATGACAGTGGTGATGGGAGTGCAGTTTTAAGTTGTGGTACCAATCAAGCTGGCTATTTTGCCTTGGTTAGTATCAAGCTTCTTGAGTATTATGGAACTTCAGTCATCCATGCAAGTGGGGAGTATTCCATCACACTCTTGGCTTGTAGGTGGCAGACAGGCTTTAAGGAATTGGGAAGAGAGTTACTCACTGCAGGATTCCTAACCTCTGACCTTCTTGTCTAGCTACTATATTTTTAAGGCTGATCCAATTTTGTTGTAACCCCCAGAATAGTGAAGGATTCAGTGATGGTAACGCCAATGAACATCAAGGGAAGATGGTTGGATTCTCTCCATATCTGCTTTTTGTTTGTTGATGGGCTGCCCAATGTCAGTTTGTTGAACTCCAGTAAGTGCCACAGTTGGATGTTTCCAAGCATGGCTAGGGCTATGCACTCTGATTATCAAAATAAAATCAGTTCAGCTGATTTGGTCTCCTGGACTGTCAGTATTACTTTGTGGACATTTGTGCAAAGCATTGAATATAGGAGTTGGAATGTCATATTGTGGCTGTACAGGAAATTGGTGAGGCCACTTTTGGAGTACTGCGTACAGTTCTGGGAAGGAGGTTATTAAACTGGAAAGGGTGCAGAAAAGATTTACAAGGATGTTACCAGGACTGGAGGGTTTGAGTTATAAGGAGAGGCTGGATAGGCTGGGACTTTTTCCCTGAAAATTAGGAGGTTGAGGGATGGCCTTATGGAGGTTTATATAATCCTGAGACAGACAGATAAGGTTAATAGCTAAGGTCTTTTCCCTAGATTAGGGGAGTCCAAAACTGAGGGCACAGGTTTAAAGTGAGAGGAGAAAGATTTGAAATGGACCCGAGGGGCAGCTTTTTCACATAGAGAGCGTTGTGTATGTGGAATGAACTGCCAGAGTAAGTGGTAGAGGCAGTCACAATTACAGCATTTGAAAGACATTTGGATAGGTACATGAATGGGAAGGGTTTAGAGGGCTATGGGCCAAACGCAGGCAAATGGGACTAGTTTAGTTTGGTCAGCATAGACGAGTTGAACCAAAAGGTCTGTTTCCATGCCGTATGACTAGAAGTTTTATTTCCCTTTTCGGAAGTAAAATAAAGATTTGAAAAATTCTTTGTTATTATTCAATATTGTAACTGATGTTTGTTCATTTTACTCCTTCAATTCCTTTTCATAACTTTTCTCAATTTATTCTAATCCTCTTCAGCAGATTCCCTTTTCTGAAAGCCTTATGCTTGTTGTTCTGATTTCACGTAAGGACCACTCTTACCATTTCAAGTTTTTGTTAGCTCTGCCAGCATAAATTTCAGTTGGAAGATATTTGGTGACTACTGAATGGGTAAAGTACTGTGCAGCAAGTCATCTGGGTAAAAGGGTTTTTGGTTTGATGCCCGGCTGATGTGAAGCATTTCCCATATTACCACTCTAAATAGATATCAAAACTATTTATTTGGCCTTCATGTTTTGGGCCATACAGTAGTTGTTGAAGGTGCTTTTATTTCAGTTTGTTTTTAACCAAGGCACTAGTATAGACGCTGCAATTTGCCTCTGTATCCCTGCACAAAAGGGATGTAGTGTCTAATGAATGCAAACTATCTGTGCTCACATGAAAAAGTGGTCCTGGATGGCTGCTAGGATTTGTTACTCTTTCATCATCCCATTTGCCATTGAATTTTATACTTTTGAGTCAACCATTTTGTTTGACTACCTTTGACTGCAGAGTCTTGGATTTAGTTTGTTCATTAGTAATCACCCAGACCTGCAAAACTCTTGGCAGCATGTGACTCTTTTTTGCTTT